TGAAATGTTTGCTGAAGGGGTTTCCCGCTTAACGAGAACCTATCCAGTTCACCAAAGTGTATGAATGTACATGGGTTGAAGTGAAGACACCCTGTTGTGCCTATAAGCAGGGTCAGAATAACTCACCAGAGAACTGAGGGATCTTCTGGAGGGCCCCAAACCGGTTACATAAGTGTCAGCAGACCTGGGCACGTGCAGAGGTTCACTGGCATGCAGGACATCCTTTACAAGCTGATGTCTACCTTTTATAGAGCCAATGTCAACCAGCAAAGCCAGAAGCTCGGGATATGGCTTGTCTCTTCAGGTTAGTATCCACTGGCCACCAATCCTGGGTTATTCTTCTTTCCACTGGCCACCAATTCTAGGACATTCTTCTTCAGCTGACCACCAATCCTGGGGAATTCTTTTTTAACTGACCGCCAATCCTGGGGCATTCTTGTTTAAATGACCACCAATCCTGGGGCATTCTTACTCCCACTGATCACCAGTGTTGGGGCATTCTTCCTTCCACTGACCACCAATGCTGGGATATTCTTTCTCTCACTGACCACCAATGCTGGGCCAATCACCTTTCCACTGACCACCAATCCCGAGGCATTCACCTTTCCACTGACCACCAATGCTGGTGCATTCTTCCTCTCACTGACCACCAACATTGGGGTAGTGTTCCTCTCACTGACCACCAATGCTGGTGCATTCTTCCTCCCTCTGACCACCAACATTGGGGTAGTGTTCCTCTCACTGATCCCCAATGCTTGGGCATTCTTTTTCCCAATGACTGCCAATTGTAGGCAATTCTTCCTCCTACTGATTGCCAATGCTGGGGCGTTTTTCCTCTCATTGACTGCTAATGCTGGGACATTCCTTCTTCCACTGACCACAATTCTATAACTTTCTTCATCCCATTGACCATGAATGCAGGAACATCTTACTTCTGTACTACTTGTACAGCCATTGACCTAGAACACGCAAGTGGAGCTGCAATTTTAGCATCAGTTAAGTCTACCAGGGGAGCACCAATAGCATAGACAAGCTATGCCACATAAAACCACATCAAAGGAATCATTGGCAAAGCTGCCAGAAAAGGGCAGAAAGAGGTAGAGGGGAGGGAGCCTGGAGGAGGTGCAGGCTGTGCTTTCTACCCTTCCAGCGCCTCCATCTGGCCACATGTTTTCAGAAGGTGATCGCAAAATAAAGCAGGTTGGAGGCCAGGAGTAAAAGGGAGTCAAGCCGGATGGTGAGTGAACTGGGCTTTAGTTACTGTCACAAATTGTCACAGTTGCCAGTTTGGTACCCATGTATTGTCATGATTGGCCATTTGTTGCTTGCGTATTGTCATGATTGGCCATTTGTTGCTCGCGTATTGTCACAGATGCCTCTTTGTAGCCCACATGTTGTTACGATTGCCCGTTTGTTGCCCCTGTACTGTCATGTACATTTTTTGCCTATGTATTTCCAGGAATTCCCTGTTTCTAGCAAGTGACTTTCTGTATGCCACATATTGTAACAATTGCCACCAGAAAATTCCCACCAGAACAGAGGCCAAGACGAAGGAATTAAAACACCTCAGGGGGACACTTAAAACTTGCGGGTATCCAGACTGGGCTTTTGTCAAAACCGAAAAAAGGAGAGGAAAGAATGCCAAGAGTACCAGTGAGGGTGAAATGCATGACAAACGGAAGAATTTGGTCATCCCATATGTAACTGGGGTGTGAGATACGCAGAAGGGTTTTAAAAAAACATCACATCCCTGGCTGCTTCAAACCCAGCCATACACTGAGGCAACAACTGGTTCACCCAAAAGACCCAACGCCAAACACAAGATGAACAACATTGTGTATGCAGTCCAGTGCAGTGAGGAGTGCTTTAGAATTGTATGTCGGTGAATCAAAACAGCAGCTACACCAGCGTATGGCACAGCATAGAAGAGCCAAACCCTCTGGTCAGGATTCGGCAGTATACCTACACCTAAAGGAAAAAGGTCACTCCTTTGAACAGCAAGTACACATTCTTGACAGGGAGGAGGACTGGTTCAAAAGAGTTGGGAAAGAGGCCATTTATGTACAATGGAGAAGCCAACCTTGAATAGAGGGGGGGGGAGGGGGGTGAGACATCTATTGTCTGCCACATACAATGCTGTTTTAGGGGGGTTTAGTTGGGGACCTGTTGGCGGCAGGTTAATAACACCTTCTAGTCTCCAATGGGGCCACACACTCCCTAAGTCCTGCTGATTTGGTTGAAATTTGAGCAATGTATTTGCCAGGTTAAGTGTCAGCTCATCCCCTGTCTCAGGCTATCTGACTTCTAAACTTGTATATGCTAAGAGTTTGTGTACACAAGCAGTGGTGTAACTATAGCCATAGCAGCCCACACAGCCTGCTATGGGGCCTGGGATAGGAGGGGGACCCTTTAGGTAAGACATTATGGAAAATATACCGTAACTGTGAAATTTCCAGTAACTAGAGTTTCAGGGCTCCCAGTGGGAGGATATGACATGATGGCCCCGCCCACTTCAATATTTGCCTATACCGGAGTTCAGCTTTAACCCTGTATGTCTAATTAAATCAGAAATCCCAGAGATTCTAACCTGCTATAACCGTGAAAGGCAGCTGAGCTTTGTAGTTCTACAAAAACAATGTTGCATTAGGGTTATAACTTCCATCCAAAGCTGTGCTCCCGAGTAGTCTGATTGTTCTGATCAATCCTGCTGCCTAGCCTTGATTTAGGGCCCATTCACAACAGCAGGAGCGCGTTATGTTCAATATGTCATGTGCGTTCTGGTGTGCATTGGGTAAGGACAGTGCAATACACTTGTTACAATGTATCGCAATGTTTCCTTTAAAAAAAAAACTTTATTGAAATGTCACAATCACATTTTATTAAATTCTATGCACAATTGCCTTAACACGCATTTGTGCACATTGCAATGCGTAAAAATTTAGGCATGCTGCATTTTTATTTAACGTACATGGTAGGGTGTGAACACAGCACATAGAGAACAATTGTCTTTGCATTGATGCTTCATGGATCAATGCAGATCAACTCATATGCTGTAGACGAGGCCTTAGGAATACTTTGGGGTCTATGTATAAACAATTCACAGGGACCTTCACCCTGCAAATATCTGTAAACGTTTGTTTTGAGCGAATAATGCCAACAGCTAACGTTCTTCATTTATTTTTCCCCAGTTCGGATGTAGTGTTGTATTATTACATTATTGCCAGTTGATGGAGCTTTCCCCAGTTCGAATGTAGTGTGTTGTAATATTACTTTGTCACTAGATGGAGTTGTTCCCAGTTCAAATGTTGTGTTCTATTATTACATTATAGCCAGTAGATGGAGTTTTTTCCAGTTCTAATAGAGTTTATGTATTATTAGTAGGGATGCACTGATATATCGGCCACCGAAACATATCGGCTGAAAATGGCACTTTTGGCTAAATTTCTGCCGATACAGCGGCACATCCCTGCTTTCTTTCCTCCCCGCTGGGCGCTGCTCTGTGTCCCAGCGGGGAGGAGAGAAAGTGTCAAAGGCTTTGAGCGCCCGGCGTCTCTCCTCCTATACCGCTCAGCCTCCTGTCACAGTCCGGCAGGGCGGTGTGGGGGCGGAGACAGTCCGCACCATCGCAGCAGGCTGAGCTCTCCTCCCTGCACCACTCGCTCAGGCTCCTGTGACAGCTGTTAGGATGGAGAACGAGGAACAAACACTCAGTGATCGCTAATTGAGGACAGAGTATGGTTACTATATCCTCAATTATGAATGAATGGGAAGTGATTTACGTCACCTCCTGTTCATTCATGTTTGTGGTTATAGTAAACATACTCTGTCCTCCATGTTATGAATGAACAGGAACACTCACTATAGAGGATTCCTGTTCATTGATAACAGGGGATACAGAATAAGAGATTGAGGACTCTGTGTCCTCAATCTCTTTTTCTGTTTTAAAAGGGAAATATCAGGGGTCTTTTTAGACCCACAATATTTCCCTAAAGCCCCTAAAAGTAAAGAATACAAATATTTAATAAAAAATGAATAAATAAAAAGTTTATAAAAAATAAATAAAAATTTAAATAATACAATTTAAAAAAAATTAAAATAAAAAACATTTTCGGTTTTGGTCTGACATTTTTTTAAATTTCGGTTGTGAGATTTCCATTTTCTTGCACCTCCAGTATTATTACACTATAGCCAGTAAATGGAGCTTTTCCCAGTTCGAATGTAGTGTTGTAATATTACATTATGACCACTAGATGGAGGTAAAGAGCATAGGAAATAAACATATGCTCCTCAGCGCCATCTAGTGACTATAAGGTAATATTACATACTACTTTCAGACTGGGAAAAGCTCCATCAACTGGCTATAAAGTATGACAACACACTACATTCTGGAAAAATGTTATTAGGAGAATTAGTCTTTGGCATTATTCACCAAAAACAAATGTTAATGAGTATTGTCGGGATAAGGGCCCAGCATTGTTTTTATAAACAGATCCGTTTATGTTGGGCTCAATTACATATTTTGTCACAGTCACTACAGGGAGAGCTAATCAAGGTGGGGGTCCTCAAAACATCGCTGTTGGGCCCCATAATACTTATTTGCTGCCCGTACACAAGTATTTGCATACTTTTCAATTTTATACACGTTGATGTAAAACAAATGGCAACTCAGAGCTCAACAGCATCCCAAATACGAGCCCAGTAGGCCTGGGAGCAGATACCACACACCGGCTGTCCCTGTGCCGCTCATAGACAACACATGATCCCGGTTTGTGGACCAAGCCTCGCTCTGGTCACAGCCCCAGCAGCAGGGGGTGGGACTTGCACTTAGCGTCCCTAGGAGGTGTCATTGTCGCCTTCTGATTCGCTGATCTCGTAGGTGAGAAACCCACGTGAATGACGATAACAGTTGTCCATTGGCTGCCGGTCCTCCTTCGTTCATCAGTTGATTGGTCGTACCGCCCTTTGTGGCAGGCGGACGGTTCTCTGATTGGCCGGCGGTTTCTTCTGGGATCCGAGGCCCGAGAGAGGGAGGCGAACCCGGCGCAGAGAGAGGACCGGCTCCGGGACGGAGGTGTGTTGTGCGGGGTAGGATGTGGTGGAGTGGTCGGGTACCGGATTGGGTGGTGGTGGAGGAGAGGGGTCGGTATGGGGGTGTAGAGTCAGTGCCCGGTGTAGATAGGAGCTCCAGAGGGAGGCGAACCCGGCGCAGAGAGAGGACCGGCTCCGGGACGGAGGTGTGTTGTGCGGGGTAGGATGTGGTGGAGTGGTCGGGTACCGGATTGGGTGGTGGTGGAGGAGAGGGGTCGGTATGGGGGTGTAGAGTCAGTGCCCGGTGTAGATAGGAGCTCCGGCTGTCGTGTGTGCCGAGCGTTCCTTACCCTGAGATTAGTGTAATATGAGGGAGGACTCTGTGTGTGTGACAGTGTCAGCGCTCTCCGCCGCTCCACAGGTTGTTATGCTGCCAGCCGGCGGGGGAGCTGTGAGTCCCTTCATATCATGTGGTGTCCGGGGCTGCGATCACCGGGCTGTGTCCGGGGCTGCGATCACCGGGCTGTGTCCGAGCGATCTGTCAGGGGGGCTAGTTGGGGACCCCAGACGGTAATTCTATAGAGCTCCTACAATCTTCTTCTGACTCGGGGTGGGGGGCGGTTGCAGAGATCAGACATTTGGGAAATGGGTCCAGTAGGAGAGGGGTGCAGATGGAATATGATGATGCAGTAATCTGGTAGTGATGGGTAAAGGGGGTGCTGGTGATATTTTGGTGTGTACATCTTTGGTGATCCTGGCTGTTGGGGTTAGTTTCACCAGCACTCGAGGATACGTACAAGAAGTATAGGCACTTTTTTTTATTGAATTGTCACGTGTCATACTATTTGCACGTATCCTCGAGTGCTGGTGACTTCTGTTATGGACTGTATCAGACACAGCTCCATCTGTGTTGTCACTTCAAGCACCAATCTCCCGTTAAGGTCTATATGCTGTATGGAGTGTACGTGACTTCTTGATATTTGGGCTCAGTTTCCTGCCATGACATGGAGGGGGATGGGTATACCTGTATGGCTGTCAGCCTGGCAGAGACAACTTTGGAGCTGGGAAGCTGATGAAGAGAGAATCGTTGTGTTCCCCTGGATCCATCAGTTGATTGCTGTGTGTGGGGAAAGAGTTGACAGTTTTGGGATTATATTCGTATGTCAGAGTTTTGGCGATCTCTCCCCGCTGGGGAGATATTGCACAATGGGGTGATTTGTCCCCAGGTTTTTAGTTGCTGCAGGTCTATCAGGTGTGATATTGGGATGCTCCTTATGCGTACCTCGGCACAGCCCCCCAATGCACACTTGCTATGTGTGTGGACACATGTAGCGACTTTGCGTGTTTTACTGCGTCAGCGTAATGCAGACTGTTCATTTCAGTGGGCTGCCCTGTGCACAACAAACGCAGGGAAAGAAAACTCTGCTTGGAATTTTTTTTTGTATGATTGTGCATTTGCCAAAATGTGTGTCTTGCTTGCTGCATTTGGGGTGCCATTAATAATAATTCCTCTGCAAGTGTGGCATGCTTTTTTATGAATACATGCAGCAAGTGTGAATGCGGCCTAAAGCCCTCAGAGGTTCCTCACAGATGCTGTCTAAGGTGGATGGGGGGAATCTTACAGGGTATGCCGATTCCCACTATAGATGTGCGCTAAACGCACAGTATTCATGCAGCAGCATAACAATGTGTATTGTGTTGCCATGCGGTGAAAAGAAAAAGTAGCGCATGCTTTAATATTCTTATTTTAACAACATGGCAACGCAACACACATTGTTGCGCTACTGAGCACTGCTGTCCTTAGGTGCGTTGGGAGAATCAACACCTAGCACGCAGTGTTTGTGCTCTATCCCACAGTGTTTTCTAATTACATGCATTTAGCATGACGCTATATTGTGAATAGGCCTCGGGGTAACTCCCGTCTTTGCATGTTCCCCAGGATACTTTGTGGTGTCTTTATTCCGCGGACACTCTACGGTTCTGTATAGAGCACAAGCAGCGCGGTTTGTGCTGGAGATCCAGAAATGTATAAGTGAAATCTGACACAACTTTATATTGCACACACTTCATTGTTTCTGGATATATATGGGAATTGTGATACATTGTGTAGGCTTATCACATTAAGGGTTGTACAGATATCACAGCAGGCGGGAGTGTTGGTCTTGTATCAGATCGGCACTTGTTATAACTTGCTCCATGTATAAGGAATCAGATACATAAACTGGTTCTGATCGGACTTGTTTTCACAAGACTTGCCCCCAGCTGTCCTCCGAGTATGAGAGGAGTGTTTTCTGACTGCTTCAGGCTTGGTTCACACCATGTGCGTTCAGGCTGGGCCGGCTGTTTTTCCACAGAGCAAGACTAGGCAATTTGCCTGGTTATGGATTGTGACAGTTCACACACTGCGCTCCTGTGGGGTGCACTTACAAAGAGAATGGCATGCAGTACTCGCACCGCCGTGAGACGTGGCACAACCGCATTGCACCGTGGTGTGCCCATAGAACATAATGAGATGTCACTTGTGATATTTCAATAAAGTTGTAACAGAGAAAATGAGCAGTGTAATGTGTCTCCATCGAGCGCATCAGCACTGCCCTGGCACATGCCCAGCAGCAGCCGTGTGGTTGAGTAGAGCTTCTGGTGTGAATAAGCCCTCAAAGTATGTATAACGGCAAAATAAGACCCCCCCACCACCACCAGCATGACCACTGTGACATTACAGTTATGTAGGGTATACACGGGCAGATGTACATATAAAAAAGGGTATACACGGGCAGATGTACATATAAGAAAACATTCTTTTTTTGGGATGAATGGAGTTTCCCGAATAAAAACCGCATTCGCCGTTGGAATTTCTTCAAATGACAAAAATTTTCCTTCGAGTTTCTTTGTCACTGCGGTCGAAATAGATCGTCTATTTGACCATATTAAGGATTAGAAAGTTGAACAAATGTTCCCGAAATTCTAACGGTGTATACCACACCTAAAGTAGAACTATGAGGTGAGTGATTTCCAGTCAGAGCCGATCTGGGACAAAGAAGCTGTCACATGTCTTCTCAATAGATCGGGAAGTGAGCAGAAACATGCAGCTGACCCACTCACTTCCTGATCCTCTCCCTGCAGAGAATGGTGACTGTCAGTCATCTCACCCCACAGGGATTCCCCCCTCCCCTCTTAGATCCTCCATTGCTGAGTGGAGGAGGGGGGCGGGCACAGCTGGATCTGCCTCTAGATAGGCAGAGCCCGCTGTCACTCACGCAGCTGGGTGGATCTGGGTGGACGTGAATGGACGGGAAGATTTTGCAGGTTTGCCAGGTGAAAGGGGGAAATGTTATGGGTGCAGTGCCCAGACTCCTACAGACTATTCCTCCAGCCCCTGGTCTCTACCAAGATACAGATATGAGACTGGAGGAAGTTGGACTAGATGTACCTTGGTGTCACTGCAGATGTAGTCCAGTAGGGTCTAAGAGTCTCTCTGACATGCTAGCAGATGGGAGTTGTAGTATTTTCAGTCACAGATCCTGTCGATGGATCTGTGAATGAATGACTGGGCTGTGCAGGCCGCACCACGCCACTCCGAATTTAAACGCGGACAAGATGCTGCAGGGAGAAGCGGCAGGTACTGGGCTGTGACTGTATAATCCCTAAATATGGGTAGAACATGAAGCCTGGCCTTAAAAGTGATATTTTTAACACTTTCACAAGAAGAGCTATAAAACAGAGCCCAGATCCGGTAATGTTATCCAGGCAGATATCTATATACACCATTGAAATGCACAAATGTGAATTGGTAATTCTATGCAGCCACTTTTATGACTTATACACCTCTACCAGACAGCACAGTATGGACGGTGACACTGCTGTCTCTGTTAGATTTGAGGAGTATAGTGGTGTCACCGCCTCACCTGCAGCCTTGTGATTGGACAATGAAGCACAATGCTCTGATAAGTCATCAGCTCTGGTCACTCGTTGTGCTGGCACAGTTGGCTCCGGGCACTGGTCTTCCGTCTACCAGGCCTCTGTGCAAAGTATGCAGGGGTGCTGATATCAAATTTAGAGACTTCTGCTTTTATATCTAAAAATGCATTTCATACCTGTGGGAGTCTATGGGCGGGAAAAGATGGGGTTGAGGACATGATCCCTTCAGGTTCTGGTTGAGCCATGTATCAGAGTTGGAGGGAACATTTTGTAATGTCTCGTACCGAATGTTGTAATGCTGTACTGTGATGCTATTCACTTTGTTGTGATGTTTGTTGAATGTTGTGTGTTTCAAAACTAATAAATACTTACCTCTTAAAAAAAACAAAAATGCATTTCATTATTTTTAAGGGAGTTCAACTGCATTATCATTTATTTTGGTTGTGAGCGCTGCCCTTTAAGACAGGGGTGGGCAACTTTTTATAAATAGACCCTTTGGTGCCCTTGCATTGAGCTGCGTTGTTCAACCCAGCTTGATGCACCTGGTGTGAACAAGCCCTTAGACCAGGGGTGGGCAATCTCCGGCCCTCCAGCTGTGGTGGAACTACAGATCCCGTGAGGCATTGCAAGATTCTCAGAGCCTCAGGCATGACTTCCAGAGACGGATACATGATGGGATTTGTAGTGTCACCACAGCCGGAGGGTCGGAGATTGCCCTCCCCTGATCTAAGGGCTTGTTCACACCAGGGGTTGAACAACGCAGCTCAACGCATGGATGCCAAAGGGTCTATTTATAAATGATTGGCATTTGAAATCTCTAAAGTTGCTCTAAAACTTCCATGGGGCTCTTCTACTGGCCAGAGATGGAGGGGATGAGCCCCATAGACTTATGAGGTTTTACTGCAGAGGTGCAGCTAGCAGCGAGAGAACTTCAGCGCCAGAGGTTGCCAGATCTCAGTAAGAACGCATCTGTGGAGGGGGTGAATGGGCTCATTTAGGTCGGGGGGGAAAGGGGGCAAAAGAAGAAGTGCACTTTGTCTTAAAATGCACTTATTCTTTAAAGGCCATGGTCACATTGGCACCCCACATACATGAATTGCAGGTTTTCTTTTCTCCCCGCAGGCT